ATATTTCTTTTTTTTGTTCAACAAAATTGTTAATCAAATTTCAAAATCTTAGTTTTTTAAATAAAGGTTTTCAAATTTTTATGTAATATAACAAAAAAATAAGATAGTCAAGTTACTCAATTTTCTATGTAACAAATTAATTCTATGTTTACTTTACACTAGTTCTTTAAGAATGAGACAATTGCAAAATGCCACATTTGGTGTATCCATTTTAAAAAATGCCACTATGGGTTGTCCATTTTAGAAAATATGATATACCCTATATTTTACCACTTTTACTATCTATTTTACTATGGTTTTTACATATATTAATAAAGCTTTTCGACCAAAAGAGGTAGTTTTCTCGTATTTGTAGATTTTAAGGTCTTAACATGTTTTATCATCAAAAGGATGTAAAATAGAGCAAAAGGAGTATTATCTATGATGCAGCTACTCATTCAAGACAAAGGAACCAAGCCAAGTCGTTTTATCTTGAAGATAATGCAAATTCTCAAACTGGACAGAACGTATACGTCAGAAATTCGCTGATAAAAATCAATTGGGAAATTAATGAAACTTGGTATGGAGATAGCCCTTTGAGGTAGCTTTCCAATGGAGTTGTAATTTCATCAATTGAAGTTGTACTTTAGAAGATACATTGGAAACACTGAGGACATGTCAAACTGCCTTCGAAGTGAAGTGAGTGCACAAAGGAGCCAAGCACCGGGCCGTCCATGGGCCGATGATCCAGACCTTTACCGACCTTCTAGAAGCACCATAGGAGCCTCAAATACCGGTCACGCAACCCGACCGGTATTACCTCAGTTTCGACCAAAAGACGTTTTTGCCCGAAGAAGACCTAGCCGACTTAAGCCTCCTTAAACCCCTATATATACTTGCTTTTAGCCTCTCTAGGAACTTAAGTCAACCTAGCCGGCCATAACAGCCTAAATCAATACCTAAACATGTATTTCGTTTTTCTCTTGTTCTTAATGTATATTTGATTCTAAAAGCCTTTAAGGATAGATTGACTTTGCCCTATTGCGAAGAGATGAGATCTAGCTCCTTACGCTTTGTAGATCAACGATTTATCTTTATGTTTATATGCTTTACTCTTGCTGCTACATGTTACAAAACATGTTAGAGTACTAGCTTTGATTTGATTTCTATGCACTTTCTTAATTCTATGTCTTTACATACTTAATCGTTTAGAGTTTTATACTAGAATCG